ATCTCTCCGCTCATGGGATTCCCCCCCCCCAGCAACGTCATCCCCCTGATTGCTATAACAGCCTTTTGCTATACCTTTTTTCTCTTCCTACCGTTGCCCTTGAATATCCACGCCTTTTAATGTAACACTCTGTATCGGAGAACGGGAAGAAAATCGGCGGCACACAACACACCGTAAGTGACGGCGGCCATGAAAAAATTGACAGTTGACCACTGACGAGGACATCGATCGATCGCTGTTGTATTCTACTGATTATCTGCCTAATTCAAGTTTGCTCGCCCTCAACGGCGACAGGTAGGTTATTTGTATGAACATTTCACATGTTTTTCAGGCAATCTCAATGAGTTGGGCGCTACCATCGAGTGCTGACTTGGTACGTTTCACGAATTCCAGATATTTTTTGAGTGTCCCTCCCTACTGGCTTTTTTGAGTGACCTGCTCTCCAAGCAGTGTCTTTGATGTGCCCTTATTTTTGTCAAGGGTACTCTTTGATACCGTTTTGGAGCATGCAGTCACAGTCGTTGTCCAGTTTCTGCTTATTCTATTTATTTTCTTTTTATTTTCCGTTGACCCTTTTTTCCGTTCGTCTGGTACTTCATCGCAGCTTCTTCAATGTGTTCTGTTTGTTGTGCAGAACACTATTTGAGGCTGTTTTGAAGCAACCAGTCGTTTTTACGCCCCCATTTTCATTTTTTTAAGGTATAGTGCAGGCCGCTGCTCTTTTGGTGAGTTTTATTTTTATTTTGTGTTGCTCCTTTTTCTGTTCGACTTGTTCTTCATCACAGCTTCTTCTCTGTGTGCTGATTGTTGTGCAGCACACAATTTGAAGCTGTTTTGAAGCAACCAGTCGTTTTTGCGCATGCTTTTTCTAGGTCATGCTGCAGCCGCTGCTCTTTTGGTGAGTTTTATTTTTATTTTGTGTTGCTCCTTTTTCTGTTCGACTTGTTCTTCATCACAGCTTCTTCTCTGTGTGCTGATTGTTGTGCAGCACACAATTTGAAGCTGTTTTGAAGCAACCAGTCGTTTTTGCGCATGCTTTTTCTAGGTCATGCTGCAGCCGCTGCTCTTTTGGTGAGTTTTATTTTTATTTTGTGTTGCTCCTTTTTCTGTTCGACTTGTTCTTCATCACAGCTTCTTCTCTGTGTTCTGATTGTTGTGCAGCACACAATTTGAAGCTGTTTTGAAGCAACCAGTCGTTTTTGCGCATGCTTTTTCTAGGTCATGCTGCAGCCGCTGCTCTTTTGGTGAGTTTTATTTTTATTTTGTGTTGCTCCTTACTATTATTATTAAAAAGAAAGAGAAGCATGTGACCTTTTTGCAATGCCGTTTCAGAAATGGTGTCGATATTTACCTCAATGTAGTTCCTTTTGCATGCAATTTCTTTGGAGGTGTAGCCGCATCGGTTTCACGCAAGCCGACGCAAACTCCTGTCCGACAGGTAGAGTATCATTCTTGTGCTCAATATCGTGGAATTTCTTTGACATTGTTTCAGTCGTCCTTACAATTTTCATTTTCAACACACACATACTTTCATTTCCACTGTATGCCATATTTTGTAATCGAATGGAGTTTGCATGCCGTTTTAGGATTGTTGTGTTAGCTTCATCAAATGACTATGGCTTCATGTTTGTGTTTTTTTTAGTTGCTTGCATGCATTTCCTAGTGAGTGTGCTGTCTGTTGGTCCTTTTTTCACCCCATAGTGTTTCAATCCACTTCACCATACTGTGGCACTGCTTTTGTCTTACTAGCACACACTTTTGCATGTCGAAGATATTACACAGTTTCCTTCAATGTATTGTGATACAAGTCACGCTTCACGTGCTATTACCACCACCTTTTCTGATTCTTCTTTCCCATAATCCTCATTTTCACCCCTGGTAACTTACCAATAAAAAGTTCACCAGTAAATGCGTGTACCACAAACATGATTTTAGATAAAATAACGAAAACATGACTAAATCAATGGCTTGGTTTCAATAGAAATGCCAAAACAAGTTCTAATAACAATAACAGTAACGTAACAAAGTAAGAGAATAACAAAAACATCAACAACATTAACAACAGTACATACAATATAGGTCTTAAAAGAAGTACGTGCACAGTCTGGTGATAGAGTTTCGATAGAAAGTAACAATTGAAGAGGGGTACCCGTGGTGGGAAAAGAAACGATAAGATACTCAAATGCCAATAAGAGAATAGCTTTGGAAAACGAAAAGTTATCTTTACAACTCTGTGCTAAAGTCTGTCAATAACTCTTCTGAGGCACTATCAGACGATATGTCTGATGAAGAGGATATTACCCCACCGCCACCACCATGACTCCCACCATCTAGAACCTCTTTCGACCTCGCAGCTTCTTCTTCCCGAAGTGTCTCCCTGCACCAACCCTCGCAAAGTTGTCTTGGCAGACTTCCCAATATTTCAAGAGTTCTACTCCTAACCTAAAAGAAATCGTAATGATATTTCGGCCGCCTAGACTTGAATATGCATCTATAAGATTACTATTTCGAGCCTATCCGTAGGACGACCGATCTTGTTCAGGCGATGTTTTAGATAACTCCAACACATTTCCACCGGGTTGAAGAAACAGTGAAACGGCGGCAACCTGACTAGGGTAACCCCCAGATCACTGCATATCTTCTCGGCGGCGTAGCATCGTAAAGCTGCTAGGCCGCCTCGGCTTTCCACGAAGTCATCGAGCTGAATACTGTGTAAAGGTAATAGCTGGGGGCATTCTAATTCATAATAAACCTCTTGAAGAAGCAAGGTTTTTGTGGTATCCATAGCCACTTCAATGCCGTGGAGAGCGAGGTAGTCTATTATTTCTTGCTTTGTGGAACTTGCGGTTGGAATCTGTCAATAATTCTTCTGTGAATTACAGGAAAATCTACAGGGTGTGCCAAAATTATGATGACAGCGAGTGTGCGCGGCCAAATCACTTTTTCCAAGTCTCTTCATATACGTATTCCATAGGAAACCGCTCTCTGGTCTGAACGTTTCACCAGGTAGTATATCTCTCTCTCCTAATCTAGTTTTGCGTTGTGATGTGAGTGCCAAACATTTCCTGAAGTGTATTGGCTACATCCATCTGCTATGCTTCTCAAGAAACAGTGTTACTGCCATCATAATTTTTGCCCACCCTGATTCGTTCTTACCTTATACAACGCTCTAGTATGGTATGGTGCGTTATCCAACACTAAGGTACATTTCTTCCCAGCTGCAAAATCTTTCATCAGCGGGATTGACCCTTTTAGCCACTGTTCGAATGCCACGTGGTCCATTTCGCGGTGATAATCGTCCTGCGTGGTCCTGTACCCACTAAGGAGGACGTGGGTGCAGCCGGGCACAATACCTTCTTCCGATAGCGCCGTTATAACAATGCCGCGCTTCCCTTTCGTTTTTCCAGCAGTCTTCCCGCAAGAATAGTTCCGTATCGTTTCAGCCGAGGGAAAACGCGACATCTTGGTGTCGACCCAGCCCTTCCTCTTCACCATACCTTCGAACACCCACGTCTCATCCATATAGACCACGCAGTCCCCCCTTTCTCTGGCCTCGTTCACTTTCCTCAAGAACAGCGATCTTTTGAGAGACAGGTCCGAGCGTTCAAAAATGAACCGCTGCCCCTTCAGTAGTTTGAAGGAGAACCCGAGACCTTTCAGCAGCCTCCAAAGCGTCGTCACTGATAATCCGAAATCCGGATAGGTAATCGAGATCTGCTGCCGCAACTCCCGAATAGTAATATCCTTCTCTTCCTTTAGCATGCCATGCACCAGACGCTTTAGGCGTTCACCCCACTCCTGACCAAAGCTATCCATAGCGGTCTTGATCTCAGCCTTCCGGCTGCGCTCCTTCGGCTTTCCTCGTGGAGTCATTGGGCGACTCATAGGATTTTTGACTCGGTACACAGTACTCGCGCTCACACCGCACGCCTTAGCAGTTATAATGTCTATCTTTTCAAACATGGTTCCTCGAGATCTTTCCCCCAGCTTCTCCTTCAACTTTCCAAAAAATTGCATGACATTGGCGATCACCGCCTTTGTTTCTGGAGTGAAATTGCGTCCCTGTTCCAAACGACGAGTCGCTGCCCACTACCGAGTCTAGGGTCATGCCTCGCAGAGTACTGCAAAAGCACTCTTCTCCTTGAAAACCGCGCTCGGTGACTGGTCGCCTGCCCTCACGGTTCTAAAAGCTGTTCTTCAGAAAAGCATGTGATGCAGTAACACTTTTCAAAAACTACTGACCCCCGCATGTGCATGTTGTACCCACTCTTTCGGTCCCTTCAGCCGTAGTGATAGGGCAGCAGTGGACTGCAATCATAAAAGTTCAGAATTTACCAAAGCGCAAGTGATGATGATACAGTTACAACTGATCTTCAACTTACAATGTTGTGGGTAGCACTCATTTCGAATTCCACAAAGCGAAAGCCTCAAAGCTAATTCTGAGAAGATTAATCGAGAAATGAAATTGCTATACACAAAGCAGTGAAGGGCTTGGAACCGAAGTATCTATTGCAACTATGCGTTTACTGGTGAACTTTTTATTGGTAAGTTACCAGGGGTGAAAATGAGGATTATGGGAAAGAAGAATCAGAAAAGGTGGTGGTAATAGCACGTGAAGCGTGACTTGTATCACAATACATTGAAGGAAACTGTGTAATATCTTCGACATGCAAAAGTGTGTGCTAGTAAGACAAAAGCAGTGCCACAGTATGGTGAAGTGGATTGAAACACTATAGGGTGAAAAAAGGACCAACAGACAGCACACTCACTAGGAAATGCATGCAAGCAACTAAAATAAAAACACAAACATGAAGCCATAGTCATTTGATGAAGCTAACACAACAATCCTAAAACGGCATGCAAACTCCATTCGATTACAAAATATGGCATACAGTGGAAATGAAAAGTATGTGTGTGTTGAAAATGAAAATTGTAAGGACGACTGAAACAATGTCAAAGAAATTCACGATATTGAGCACAAGAATGATACTCTACCTGTCGGACAGGAGTTTGCGTCGGCTTGCGTGAAACCGATGCGGCTACACCTCCAAAGAAATTGCATGCAAAAGGAACTACATTGAGGTAAATATCGACACCATTTCTGAAACGGCATTGCAAAAAGGTCACATGCTTCTCTTTCTTTTTAATAATAATAGTAAGGAGCAACACAAAATAAAAATAAAACTCACCAAAAGAGCAGCGGCTGCAGCATGACCTGGAAAATGCATGCGCAAAAACGACTGGTTGCTTCAAAACAGCTTCAAATAGTGTTCTGCACAACAAATAGAACACATAGAAGAAGCTGTGATGAAGAACAAGTCGAACAGAAAAAGGAGCAACGCAAAATAAAAATAAAACTCACCAAAAGAGCAGCGGCTGCACTATGACCTGGAAAATGGGGGTGGAAAAACGACTGGTTGCTTCAAAACAGCTTCAAATAGTGTTCTGCACAACAAACAGAACACATAGAAGAAGCTGCGATGAAGTACCAGACGAACGGAAAAAGGGTCAACGGAAAATAAAAAGAAAATAAATAGAATAAGCAGAAACTGGACAACGACTTTTTACT